GAAATGCTGTGTAATATTTGTAATTCATTCACTGAGCTGCATTAGCTGTGAGAGAAAGCTTTGTAAATGCCTTAAAAATTATTTTATGGGACCTAGAATCCCTCTCAAAACCACGAGTCTGTGCACGTACGTGTGTCCCAGCCCAGTTCAAGCAGCAGCTTCTCCTCCTCCACAGCAGGGTGCCTGGTGACTGGCTGTGCTGTCGTAGTTGTCTTTGGCTTCTTTGTGACTTTGGCCGCTTTTGGCTTCTTTGTTGGTTTTGGTGCTTTGGGTTTTTTGGTGGGTTTGGGGGCTTTGGGCTTTTTGGTGGGCTTGGGGGCTTTCTGCTTCTTTGCCTTGGCTTCCTTCTCCGCTGCTTTCTTTGCTCTGGCTTGAGAGAGAGGACACATGTTTAACAGGGACTGTGGCACATCAAGCAGCTTTAAACATTTTATTGTGTTACATCAGTTTTTATTACTAAAGGTTTCTCTTCAGCTTTTCTGTATAATCTGTTGGCTCTTGTTTGCCAGAACAGAACATGTCAGTAAGTTTAAAGCTAAAGCTCAGACCATAACGTCAGAGAGGTTTGGTCCTGTCAGATAATTCAGCCAGTTTGTTTTGGAGACTAAACAACAAGTTGCTTTGAGTGAAGACCTTTGCCAAGAACCAAAACTCTCCCCAGGAAGCTGTTCCTCTGACAGTTACCACTGCAAAGTTTACATGACAGAATAGTTACAGAAGAGCAGACAGAGCTGGTTTGGTGATGGAGCTTTGAGGAGGAACATGCACAAGAGTTTTAAAGGTTTTAAAATGAGGTTTCTTCCCCCATAGAGCAAGGCTAAAATGTAGTAACAAAGTTTAATTAAATAAATTAACCACATTGTTCTATTTAAAGTAATAATATCAATATTTTGGGAAACACACAGCTCTTTGGCTTCCAACAGTTGGATGAGAAGATTTATATCACTCTAATGTCTGTGTTAAGTAGATGGAGTTAGGATGTGGTTAGCTTATCTTATCTTAGCCTAACTTAGCTTAGCTTAAAGTCTGTAAACAAAGGGAAACAACTAGTCTGGCTCTGTTTGAAAAGTTCCGATATGCACCTACAGCATCTCTAAAGCTGTTAATTACACAATAGATTTGTTTTTAACCTGTAATAGAAAAATGACAGTTATTTGTTCAACTGTACTGCATTATTTTGAGTTAATGGAGTGGAAGCATCTGTCACTACAATGTAATACAGTTCACCAAACCAACAAACCCAGCCTTTAGTTTTCAACACATGATGGTTAACAGACAGACAAATGGATGAAGGTGGGCGCCCCACATCTCCAGACGTTCAGAGGTGTTCACTTCCACCCTCTGATGAGAAAATAACTGGTTTCATGTTGAATTACAAAGAATATTATAGAGAGGAGATGTTCAATGGGCGGTTTTTCATCCTCCCCTGTTAAACAACCATCATCAGACACAGAGGCCAGATTGTTTTGCTGCTAGACATGTTTCCTGATGTTCCACTGGCCCTTAAACACAACAGTCCCTCAGAGCCGCCTCATTACTCAGCCAGGGTGTAAAGGTCGATCACACGTCATTACACGTGACAGTCACATGACACAGAAATGAACTTTTTATCTGACATTTTTTATTTAAACCCTTCTGTTAAATAAAAAAAAAAAACCCAACTTCAACCAAAATTAATGCTGTCCTGTTATTTGATAACAAGGGCAGTCGGGAAATAGGACCCACATTTGTTTTGGAGCTGCAGGTGTTGGTCCGAAAACCATACACCTGGCCATACAGTACCACATCGCAGCCCCAACATAAAGGATGAAATTAAATAAGTCAAATTATTTAATGACATGTTCTTACTTTTTATTAATGTCACTTTCTCTGCAGCACTGATTTATTCATTTTTACATCCACTTAATTTCGATTATTCTTATTCAGTTTAAATAAAGTGAATTTCAGAAGGAGGAAATAAAGAAAACTGGGTGGGAGCCACATCTAATGGCAAAGATCCCAAACAGAATTTAATACCTAACAACGAGGAGACAAGT